GGGGATGCATATGGAGGAAGTCATTTTGGACCCAAGATTCAGAAATGGAGAGTTTGCCTGAGAAGAGCCAGTCAGGAGAGAAGAATGCAGTGTGTGGTACAGTCACATCAGTCTTTGCCGAAATACTGAGGGACAGTGTGTGAGTGAGGAGAAAATGACTTATGTGAAAAGGCGAGAGAGGGAGCGTGCTGCAGGAAGTTCATTGGACCTGCATCTGGAATGTGCAGCAGGTAGGAGTTAAATACTGAAGCCAGAGAGGTGAGAAGCCAGATCATCCTCCTACATAAAGATGCTGAATAATTTATCCTGGCATCAATCTGGAGAGCCGCTTAAGTGCTCAGCAGGGGCTTGACTAGAACATATTTACATTTGAGAGAGAGAGAGAGAGAGAGAGAGAGAGAGAGAGAGAGAGAGAGAGAGAGAGAGAGAGAGAGAGAGCGCTCTTAGGAAAAGAATAGACTGGCAGGGAGTGGGGTTGAAGGCAAAGAGATTATTTAGAGAGCTATTTTAGGGATTCAGGTGAAATGATATGAGGGGGTACAGGTAATTAACGGAGAGCAGGCAATGGGGTAAATTTAAGAGAATAGTTTAGGAGATGTAATGAAACTTGACATGAGATGTATGTGGAAGATAGCAGGGCAAGGATGGCATCCAGGTTTCTAGTCAGGGCCATGGTTAGATGAGGGCACTGTTTGCTCAGAGATGGGAGGAAGATTGGGTATGAAGTGGTAGGGAGGGCAAAGGGAACTAGTTTGCATTTGGAGCTTCATTGAGAGATGCCAGGAAGTACCCAGTGGGGGTACTTAGTCTGAACTAGCGTGTCTTATTGAATATGCAGGTATGAAATTTGGGTTGCTGCATAGGCAGTAGTGTAACTTTGAGATGCAGATACAGTGTGTGCCTGTGTAATGTGAATTAGCTCACAAGTGACTGGTAATGGGAGATGGTATTAGGATAGTGCAGAAATCCATTTGGTTCATATGCAGGATTTTGTTGTTGCTGTTTTTGCTAGACAAGGGGTGGATAGAGCATTGAGATTGTCAGCTAACAGGAATCCTTAGTTCATTTGTGTTATGAACAGGAATTGCTTTGTCTGTTTTTTAAGAAAATTGAAAACAAAATGTCTTTTCTAGGGACATCTTCCCTTGATGACCAGTCCCCAGTCCACACAGCTGGGGTGTTTCATGGTGGCCTCCTTGGCTCATAGCGAGACCCCCTGTGCTATCTTGGCTCCCTGGGTTACATTTTTGCCCAGATTAAAGCAGTGTCCTTTCTGCTTTACTTCTGTGCACATTAATCACCTACTGTGACCATCTTGGTTTGTGTGGAGCACCCTGACTGGGGGCTCTAAACTGTGACCCCAGTATCATTTACAGTTTTCATCAGCACTAACATTTCAAAGTTGCTTAGGTTCTGAGCAGACTGTGGATCTCTGTGAGTTCAAGGCCAGGCTGGTCTACAGGACAGCCAGGACTGTCACACAGAGAAACCCTGTCTCAACGCCCCCCCACCCAAAAAAAATTAGTTAATGCAGTAAAAATGGAAGGCTTTAAGACCTTTCTTGTATAGCAGAGAAGCACCTCCTTTAAACCGTTAAAATTAATGGTTAAATAAAATACAACATTAAGCTTTAGAAGTTTTTTGTTTACAAGACAGGGTCTTGGTATTCCAGGCAGGTCTCAAGCTCTATGGAGCTGAGGATGACCTTGAATTCTGAGCCCCCTGCCTTTGCCTCCCAGGTGCTAAGATTACAAGTTTGTGCCACTGTACTTGGTTTTGTGCAGTGCTTAAGACTGAACCCAGGGCTTTGTGCATGCCCCCCCCATACCCCTCCCCCATACTCCTCTCACATACCCCTCCCTGTTCCCCTCAAAGTCATGGCCTTTTCTTATTGCATGCTTGCACGCGCGCGCACACACACACACACACACACACACACACACACACACACACACACCCCTAAATCTAACCCGCTCAGTCTGTGTGTCATTTTTTTATGCATGTTTCCAAGGCTGACCATTTGGTGTTGGGTAACCAATTGGTGTGCTCTTCTCTGTGGAAGACTGTTTCTCCCACTTTTAGCATTCCTAAGTTGCCTGTAGTTATTTGTGTAGGGTTGAGTCTCTTAGGTTTTTCCATGTCCACTTTGGCATGTCCACTGATGCTGTCCTTATTCAGCGCACGTTTGGGCAGTCATGTGGCTGAGGCTTTAGGCCTGTAGCTTCTGATGTTGCTAGGAGACAATCTCACCGCAAACTCCCTGATCCTCTGGCTCCTACCGACTTTTTGACCCTTCAATCACCTGCTTCTTTCCAAGTGTCTGCTTTGTTCTGGGATGTACTGGCCGTGACCTTCTCAGGTTCTGCTCTCTACCCCTAATTTCAGTCTTTACTTAGCTGCCATGCGATCTTCAACTCGAATTTCAGATGACCTTTAAACTTACTTGCCTGTCACCACCCCACAGCTGACCACTGTGTTTTAGTTTAAATACCTCAATACTAACTTAGATCCCTTACACCCTTTGCTGCTCAGGTTGGTCTAGGTTGATTGCTCCCTGGGCCACTGTTCAGCCACTCCTGGCAAGGGAGGAAAGTCCTTAGGCAGAAGCCTTTTCTTCTAGCTCATCCTCATTTCAAAATTACATGTCTACTTGAATGTGTATGTGTTTGTGTGTGTCTATGTGTGTCTATGTATATGTGTGTGCATATACATACACACACACGCACACACTTTACTGTGTGACAGGAAAGCCGAAGGAAGGGGGATTATTAGCGAGAAGAAAGGGGACCAACAAAGGGGGTGGTGGATGGAGGTGTCTTAGGGTTTCTCTTGCTGTGACGAAACACCAGGACCAAAAAGCAAGCTAGGGAGGAAAGGGTTTCTTTGGTTCACACTTCCACGTTGTAGTCCATCACTGAAGCAGGACAGGAACTCAAACAGGGGCAGGAACCTGGAGGCAGGAGCTGATGCAGAGGCCATGGAGGGGTGATGCTTGCTCCTCATGGCTTGCTCAGCCTGCTTTCTTACAGAACCCAGGACCACCAGCCCGGGATGGCCCCACCCACCATGGGCTGCACTCTTCCCCACCATCACTGATTAAGAAAATGCCTTACAGCAGGATCTTATGGAGGCATTTTCTCAATTGAGGTTCCCTCCTTTCGAATAACTCTAGTTCATGTGTCAAGTTATAGACTAGCCAGCACAGAGGTATAATGAAGTAAATATCATTGAGATAATGATCTTTGTATGAAATGCCATAATGAAACCCATTATTTAGTAATGCAAGCTAATTTTTTAAAATATACATGATCAATTGAAGGCATAGAAGGTTAACCCTTTAGAGGAATGGTCTGAAGCTGTGGCTGATGGATAAGGACAGGAAGAAGAGAAGGAGGGAACTCACACACGGGGTAGCTCGGCTGGAGTGCCTAGCTCCTTGCAGGCCATGGGATGGGGTTTTAAAAATATATACTGCTGTATGTCATATATGTGTTTATATCACATGTGTGATACATGGGGAAACTTGAAGGTTTTTACAATCACTGTGTCTTTTGGAAGAAAACGATAGGACTTAGGTTGAAAATTGTGCTCAGAATTTAGCTTGATATGTAAATAATAATGGCCATAATTATGTGCTGTCTGTGGAACTTTAATAGGTAAAAGAGGAGGGCAATAATTGGATAGATGAGAGCTGAGGAAGGGTCTATGAGTTGAGAACTGGAGACATCTGTGCCCTGGGCTCACAAACTCTGTGCTAATTAGCTACTGATTGCCTGACATTTCCTTTAAATTCATAGTAGCGCATTCCTGAACAGTTCCGAGTTCTCAGTTACAGTATGACAGCCAAAAGCAGAGACTCAAATGGAAGATTATCAATATAACATGTCTTATTTTTATCAGAATCGTAAGATCTCACCGTAGTCTTGAAGTATATAGATGTTCTGACTTGGGCAATGTTGTCAGTTGACCGTGTCCTAGCATGGTGTCCAGAACAAACACATTTGCCTACACAGAGCAAACCTAGTAAAACTTACAGGTGTTGACCACAAAGGACATAGGTGCTGACTCGAGGCTGTCATTGATTGACATGTTTATGGCCATGATCATTACATTTTAAGCTTAATGTACAGTATAAGAAAATACTTGTATGTTCAAGTGTTTTCTTAGTGAGATCCTTAAAGGGTTAATAATTTACAAATGTGTGAAGAGGCAAAACATATGAAGAAACTTAGAAAATCATAATGAAAATTAAGAGAATCAGTTAGGGAACCCTATTTAGCTAACACAGCACAAAGAGCCTGCCATTGTTCTGAGTTACATACTCACTGGTTAAAATGAGAATGGGAATATGAAATGGTGAATAACATGGACGGAGCGGAGCACACAGAGCGGAGGTACAGTGATAGCAGTCAGCACACACAGTGATGGTGGGTCTTCACATACGCTTCTGTCCCAGCGTTTGCTGTGCTCAGTGCTCGCTCTTTTCAGTGCAACTCTCCAAATGAGACGAACCTTCAACCAAACCTTTTAGTAGCCAATCTGGACACATTTTATGGGTCTCATTAAATGCTGCATGGGAAGATAATGATGTGGCTAATTTTATTTGACGAAATAGGTTAAGTAAAGAAATGTGTTAAATACTCTTTTCAAAATTACTGAAATTTTCCATAGTAACTTGATTGCGCTTTTATGGTTATTAGTGCCAATAATAAACAGTACTCGGCCTCTGTGGAGAGTAGGTGTCCTGTAATGCTGGGGAGGCCGAGAGCACAGTTCAGGTTGCTAAGGGAAACTGCCTACTTAGAGCAGGCCAGCCTCACCTGTCAGAGATGCCTGTGCCTTTGCGTCCAGCAAATTCATCGGGACTTGTGAGGTTTGGGGCTGAGACAAACGGCTGTGGAATATAAAGACAGTGCACACTTACTTGTTTTGTAATATTCGTGTGTTAATCTTTCAATTTCTACCACATACTAAGGCATTTTCCCCCCTTATTTCCCTAGGGAGTTGGTGTTTCAGTTCATGGACGATTCCGAGTGGCTACGGAAAGGTCCCTCTTTGCAATGCCAGAAACGGGAATAGGTAAAAACACCAGAAAGGTTTTGTCATTACTTTTGAATCACATTCCTTCACTATATTTCAGATATTTTATACCTATGCACATGGAGCCAAAGGACTCTATGTGAGACACAACAACGAAAGAACTTAAAATGACCAGGGACTCTCAGTTAGCTCAGTAATTACATTATCTGAAGATATTAGTACCCCTTAGTACCCCGGAGTTAACGTTTCCAAAATTTGAGAGCCTCATAGGTCAGCATTCCTGTTTGGTGCTGAAGAGAGTCACTCCCGCAGGGTGTGTGGAAAGGGCTCCTGTCTTCACCGTTGTGTCTGGTAGATGTCTGTGCTGCTGGCCTATATCACCTTCTTGGTTGCTGTTGCCTTACGGTACTCTGGAAATCAGGTAGCGGTAACCACCCAGCTTTACCCCACCCCAAGTGGTTTTGGTTATAAAGACCATTTGTATTTCTGTATAAAATTTACTTTGTAAATTGCAACAAAAATGCCTTCTGTTGTGTTTGGCAAGTCTACCATCTTATCAGTTTAGGCAAAATTGGCTTCTTTCATGGTTGTGCTGTATGTGTTTGTGTGTATGATGGTGTGTGTCTGGCCTGTGCATGTGGAGGCCAGGGGTGTCTTTCTCTGTTTCTCTCCACCTTATTTTTGAGACAGGGTCACTCATTGAATCTGAAGCTGGCCCATGTAACTAGACTGTTTGGCAACAAGCCTCGTGGATCCTCTTATGCAATTTCTTAGCACTGGAATTTCTGGCATGTGCCACTACACCCAGCTCTCTTCAGGGTATCTAACTCTCCTCATGCTTGCGTGGCAGACACTTCACTGAGTCAATCATCTCTTCCGCCCAAGAACTGACGTCTTAGTAAGATGGTGTCTTTAGAACAAGTCAGTTTTTCAGTTTTAATTTTCCAAAGTTTTATAGTTCTCATAGTTCTCAGTGTGTAGGTCTTACACATATTTTACCAGAATTGTGTCCATTTCCTATTGCTTGATATTGTAGATAATGTTTTTCATTTTTGGTTGAAAACATTTTCAGACAATATATTTTGATCATGTTTTTTCCCTACCCCAGCTCCTCCCAGCATTCTTACCACCTAATTTTATGTTCTATCTCTCTTCCCTTCAAAAGAGAAAAAAAAAGAAACAAAAATGAAAACAAAACAAAACAAACAAACAAAAAACAAGCAGCAATCCATCCACACAAAACCCCAAAACCCAAAATCAAAACAAACAGGTAAAAGGCCAGTAAGAAAAAAAAAATGCTAAAACAGAGGAAAATACAACACAAAAATGCCACTGAATTCATTCTCTGATGGCCAGCCACTCCTGACATGGGCCTGCCCTGGAGTGTGGTTGATGTTCCTAGTGACACTCCTTTGGAGAAAGCTGATGTCCCCTGTCCTAGCAGGTCTCAGTCGCAGATGGCTTTTGGTTAGGGCTGTGTTCACATGCCTCTCTCAGAGCGGAGACCCCATGTAGCTTGATCCTATGCAGTCTTGTGCATGTTGTTGTAGCCTCTGAGTTCGTATGTGCATCTGTCCTGTTAGGTCTGCAAGACAGTCTTTCCTTGGAGTCACCCACCACCCTTGCCTATCTTTCTGCCTCCTCTTCCTTACAGATCCTTGAGCCTTGAGGGAGAGGTATTTGATAAAGACATCCCATTCAGGACTGAATGCTCCACAGACTCTCTCACGCTGCACACTGTCCTCTTCCTTGGGAGGCCCTCTCCTCTTCTCTCTTTACTAGGTACCTAACCTCTGTGGCCATTCAGATTGTAGTCCAGATGTAGAAAGCTTAAAAGCTAACATCTACATATAAGAGAAAACAGTGTTTGTCTCTTTGGCTCTGGGTTACCTCACACAGAATGATTTTTTCCTAGCTCCATTGTGTAAATGTACCACAGTTTCATGATCTGTTCATCAGCTGATGGACATTTAGGTATTTACAGGTTCTGGCTATTATGCATAGAGCAGAGCAACTGTCCTTGTGGTATAACGGAGAGTCCTTTGGGTTTATTGTATAACTGGATCTTGAGGTAGATCGACTCCCATCTTCCTAAGGAACCCACACTGATTTTCATAGTGATTGTGCAAGGTTGCACTCCCACCAGCAGTGAGTGCTCCCCTTCCCACATCCTTGCCAGCATGAACTGTCGTTTGTTTTATTGATCTTGGTTATTCTGACTGGTGTAAGATGGAGTCTCAAAGTAGTTTTAAGATGCATTTTACTAGTGGCTAAGGATGTTGAACATTGGAACATTTCTCTAAGTGTTTCTCAGCCATTTGTGTTCCGCCTTTCGACAACTCTGTGCTTAGTTTGGCACCTTATTATTTTAATTGGGTTGTTTGTTTTATTGATGTTCAGATTTTTTGCTTTGTTTTTTGTTTTTAGTTCTTTATATATTCTAGATACTAACCCTCTATCAGATATATAAAAGATAAAGTTTTTTCCCCATTCTGTAGGCTGATAGTTTGTCTGAATGATGGTGTCCTTTGCCATACAGAAGCTTTTGAATTTCAGGAGGTCCTATTTATTAATTGTTGATCTTAGTGCCTCTGCTATCCGTGTCCTATTCAGAAAATCATTTCTGGTGCCAATGAGTTCAAGCTATTCTCCACTTTCTCTTGTATCAGATTCAGGGTATCTGGTCTTATGTTGAGGTCCTGGATCTGTTTGGATTTTAGTTTTGTGCAGAGTAATAGTGATCAATTTTCATTTTTTTTTACCTGCAGCCATCCAGTTTGACCAGCATCATTTGCTGAAGATGCTGCCTTTTCTCTGATGTGTATTTTTTACTTCTTTGTTAAAAATCAGGTGTCTGTAGTTATGTGGACCTAAGTCTTCAATTCAGTTCCATTGATCAACATGTCTGTTTTTATGCCAATACCAGGCTGTTTTTATTACTATAGTTCTGTGATACAGCTTGAAATCTGGGGTAGTGATACATCCAGCAGTTCTTTTATTATTCAGGATTGTTTTCGCTAATCCTGGTTTTTGTGTTTCCATATGAAGTTAAGATTTTTTTTTAATTTTTATAAATTAAAAAAATTTTTATTTTGGAATTTTGATGGGGATTGCATTAAATCTATAGATTGTTTTTGGTAGGATGGCCATATTTACTATGTTAATCCTACTGATCCATGAGTGTTAGGAGCTCTTTCTATCTTTTGATATTCTCTTCAGTGCTAAAGTTTTTATTGTACAAGAGTTTCACTTGCTTGGTTAGCGTTATCCCGAGATATTTTTCGGTTTGAGGCCATTGTGAAAGGTACTCTTTCCTTCATTTCTTCTTTCTCAGTGTGTTTGTTGTTTGTATATGGGAAGTCTACTCATTTGTGTGTGTTAATTTTGTGTCCTGCTATTTTGCTAAAAGTGTTTAATCAGCTATAGAAGTTCTCCTGATGGAGTTTTTAGCATCCTTATGTATCCAGTCTTACCACCTGCAAATAAAGATACCTTGACGACTTCTTTTCCAAATTGTGTCCCCTTGATCTGCGTCATTTTGTTGCTCTAGCCAAGACTTCCAGTTCTATTGAGAGGGTGGACAACCTTGTCTCACTCCTCATTCTAATGGAAATGCTCCCCATGTAAGTTGATGTTGGCTGTGGGCTTGACGTAAGTGACCTTTATTAGTAGGTGTGGCCCATGTATCGCTAGTCTCTCAATCCTGCATCTCTGGGATAAAGACAAGTTGATCATGATAGATGTTTGCTTGGATTTGGTTTGGGAGTATTTTACTAAGAAATTTCGCATTTATATTCATAAGAGATATTGGTCTATATACTTTTTTTTAGGTCTTTGTGTCATTTAGGTATTAGGATATTGGTGGCTTCATAAAAAGAACTAGAAAGTGAACCTTCTGTTTCTATTTTGTGGAATAATTTGAAGAATATTGGTGCTAATTCTTCTTTGAGGGACTAGTATAATTCTGTGCTGAATCCATCTGGCACTTGGTTTTGTTGTTGCTGGGAGATTTAATTATTGCTTTTATTTCACTAGGGGTTATGGGTCATTATAAATTGCTTATTTTATCTTGACTTAGTTTTGGTAGGTCATTTATATCAATAAATTAATCTATTTCTTTTAGATTCTCCAGTTGGGTGGAATGCAGATGTTTTTTTTAAACTGTCCTTATGACTCTCTGAATTTCCTTGGTGTCTGTTGTAATGTCTCCCTTTTCATCTCTAATTTTATTTAGTTGTATCTTCTGTCTTTTACTTGATTTGGGTATGGGTTTGTCAGTCTTGTTGATTAGTCTCAAAGAACCAACTCTGTTTCATTGATTATTTGTATTGATTTTGTAATTGTTCTTTGTTTATTTGTTTTTGTTCTTTAGAGACAGGGTTTCTCTGTGTAGCCCTGGCTGTCCTGGAACTCACTCTGTAGATCAGGCTGGCCTTGAACTAGAGATCCCCCTGCCTCTGCCTCCTGAGTGCTGGGATTAAATAGAAGCACAGCACCACCATTTGGCTGTTACTGTTTTTATTTTATTGGTTTCAGCGCTGAGTTGATTTCCTCCCGTCTACTTGTGGGTTATTATTTCTTCTTGTAGCTTTAGAGGTTTTAGGTGTATTGTTAAGTTACTCATATGAGATTTTGTCAGGTATTTTTTTCTGCATGTATTGAGATGATCACTGGCTTTTTCTTTTTTCTTTAGTTTGTTAATAGTAAATTATTTTGAATGTTTTTTAAAAAGATTTATTTATTTATTATGTATACAGCATGTATGTCTGCAGGCCAGAAGAGGGCACCAGATCTCATTACAGATGGTTGTGAGCCACCATGTGGTTGCTGGGAATTGAACTCAGGACCTCTGGAAGAGCAGCCAGTGCTCTTATCCTCTGAGCCATCTCTCCAGCCCTTTGAATGTTTTTTATGTACAAATTTCCCTGTGATACATCTTCCCCTGATATCTGTAAACTGTTTAATGTGTTATTCGGTTTGATTCATTGAAACTTTATGTGTAACTTTTGTAGTTCTGATTATGGGGTTTGCAGTGTGATTTGTAATGACTTTTCTTTGGATGAGTATTGGTAATGCTGTTTGTTTTTCTTTTTTCTTTTTCCTTTCTGGAAGAGCTTGTGTAGAATTGGTATCATCTAAATGTGGAATACATCAGTAGTTTGTAATCATAGACTCAAAGCCTCTGGTACATACTTGGCCAGTCAAGCTGTCTTCTTGCACAAGCATTGGTAGGTTGAATCTTTGAAGGAATTTTTACAATCTATTAATATAATGCAGCCCATGCTATTCTAATATGTGTAGACTCTGTAGTGTTCTCTGTCCCTCTCAATCGTGATTAACTTCATGTCTACTCCTTTTTTCTTCAGGTCATTCTAATTTGAAGTTTATCAATTACATTGATCTTAAATCAGAATTTGGTTTTCACTTAACTGGTTTTTGCTGAGATATTCATTACTTATTTTCAACTACTTTAGTTTTCATTTGCTGCTCTATGTTTCTAGTCTTGTCAGATAAAAGCAGGTTAATTGGCTTTTTAAAAAAATCACTTTTATGTACACATTTAGCAGAAGCTGTACTCCAGATTTTCTAGTACTGTGTAGTGAGATACTCTCCTGTGTTCCTGGGCTGCAGCTCCTGGTCAGCCATGTGATCGTAAGAATGCACAGTTGATGCTCTGGGGTAGTGTGTTGTGTGGCTAAGTGATGACGCTCAGTGGGGTGTGTTAAGTGCATTTCAACTTAGAGTGTTTTTTTTCCCATTTAGTTTCTATTTCTATATTTTAAACTTCTGCCTCTGCAAAGTCTCATCTGCCCTTTGCATTTGTAAATAACTTTCAGTCTGTGCATTCATCTCCCTTTTCATCTATGGAAATAGGATTTGATTTGCTAAATATATGACTTCTCTGTCTCTAAATATTTTGAACATATGAGCGAATTCTTACATTGATGTCAGTTTGAATTAATTCAGTCTCATATTTATCATGCCATATTAGTTATCTAATTTTTTTTCTCGTTGAGATAGGGTCTATGTAGGCTAGACTGGCCTTGAACTCAGAGATCCACCTACCTCTGCCTCCCAAGTGCTGGGACTAAAGGTTTGCACCACTAGATGGCTAGTGTGTTGGGTAGTTTTATGTCAACATGATACAAGCTAAAGTCATCTGAGAGGAGGGGACCTCAATTATTCTTGCATAAGATAGGACTGTAGGCAAGCCTGTATTTTCCTAATTAGTGATTGATGGGGGAGGGCCCAGCCCATTGTGGGTGGTGCCATCCCTGGGCTGGTGGTCCTGGGTTCTATAAGAAAGCAAGCTGAGCAGGCCATGAGGAGCAAGTGTTACCCCTCCATGGCCTCTCCATCAGCTTCTGCCTCCAGGTTCCTGCTCTGTTTTGAGTTCCTGTTCTGACTTTCTCAGTGGTGGGAGATGGATGTGGAAGTGTAAGCCACATAAACCCTTTCCTCCCCAACTTGTGTTTGATCATGTATTTCATTGCAGTAATGATAACCCTGACTAAGACAGCTAGTAATTTTTTATTAGATTCTAAATGCAACTTTTCTTTTGTTGGGTGCTGGATACGTTTGAAGGTTATTTTGTTTTGTTTTTCCTCCCTTCCTCCCTCTCTACTCCCCTCTCCCTACTCCCTGCCCCCCTCTCTGTGACAGTATGTAGCCCTGACTGGTCCTGACTGGCCTTGAATTTACATAGATCTGCCAGCCTGTACTTCTTTTGACATTTTGAGTACTTCCAAATGTTCTTGCACTTTCTTCTAGGATGAATGAAAGTTACTTGGAAACACTTTGCTCTTGTTAGGCATTTAGGGTTTGGTGTTTTGTTTTTGTATAGGATGGGAATGACGCCTTAAGCCACCGTTTATTTCCCACTGCAGAGGCAGGATCTGCCTTTGTCATCAGCTCATCTTGGTGGTGGATCCGGGATTTAGGCTTCTGGCTTTCCACTTAGTTCTTGTATCCCTTCCTGAGGTTCAGATCCCTTATTCACACACTGTAGTGATGAGTGCTAGGAGAGCCCAGGATGGGGAGACCCTGAGGTGTCAGTAGGGACAGCACCAGACTGTTCAGTTTGTGCTTCTGGGTGGAGGAGACAGTTCAGGAAAAACAAAACAAAACACTGTAGTTGAAGGGATGCGCGTCCAGAGCTGTGGTTTTGCTGCGTGGAGATGCTTACACACCATGTGACTGCAGAGAAGACAGCTCTCGAGTTTGGTATTTGAGGGGACAGGTACAACTAGGTTGGAGACTGTTCATCAACTTTAGCCTATTCAATAAAACCATAGACTGATTGACTTAAAACAACATATTGGTTCTCACATCTCTGAGGGCTGAGAGCCAAGGTCAGGTATCAGTAAGCTTGGTTCTTTCTGAGCCGCCTCCTTCGGCTCTCAGACGACCACCTCTTTGCCATGTCTTCATGTGGCCTTTCCTCTGTGTGTGTCTCTTTCATAAGGATAGTTCTGATGGATTACGGCATCCCCCTTGCAATTTGACATACCTGAACGTAGTTGGACCTTTTCGTCAGGACTTCAGGCTTCCAGTAATAACATGGAGACTTATTATTAATTACAAAAGCTCAGCCATAGCTTAGGCTTGTTACTAAGTAGCTCTTACAACTTAAATTAGCCCATTTCTATTAATCTATGTATTGCCATGTGGCTTGTGGCTTTACCTGTCCTCCAGCATGTCTTGCTTCCTCTGCATCTCCTGGTGACCCCACCTTTCTTCTTCCCAGAGTCCTCTGTGTCTGGCTGTCCCACCTATACCTCCTGCCTAGCTAAAGGCCCTTTAGCTTTTTATTAAAGCAGTAAGAAGGTGCCTTGGCAAAGATACATCTTTACAGTGTACAAAAGGATTAATCTACAACACCCGAAGTTCTGTCTATAAATAATACAGTTACATTGTGGGCTGAGGCTTCAACATACAGATTTTGGGACACAATTCTGTTACTAACCGAGAATAATCAGCATATGGGTGTTACTAAAAGCCGCAGGAGTCAAGGGAACTAACCACAGGTGGGCGTCCGAATAGCAAGCGTAGCCTCTGCAGCACTCAGAGGTCAAGGTGTAGAGACAGTGAGATGAAAAGATGTGTCAGAGGCCGGGCCACACCTTGCGGGACAAGGGCATGTTTCAGGACAGAAGGGTCTCCTGTGCTCAGAAGGCCGCTGAGGCTCTCGTCAGGAGGTGGGTGCAGGGCGAATGAGAAGACACAAGAGTGGCTGCTGGGTCAGAGTGTGATGATAAGAGATTCAACTGAACACACGGGTGGACATTTACGACTGGGTTAGGGGGGTGTTCCAGTCTGAGAGAAAACATAGCCACTGAAAAAATTTAAGAAATGTGAAGTAAAACTCTGGGCAGAGTTTATGTTTAAAATATCACACTCTCTGGGCATAGTAACCCATACCTGTAATCCCAGTGCGGGGGAGGCCGCAGGCTGAGGAAAGATCACAAGTTCAAGCCCACTCTGGGCTACTCCTCGAGGCTCTCTCTCAAGTTAACAGGAAAGAAGTTCTGTGCTTTCTGTTTGGAAAGCAGATGGTTTGTTAGTTGCCCTGGCCGTCATTCCTTAGGTACCGTCTACCTTGTCTTTGAGACAAGGTCTCCTCACTGTCCTAGAGCTTGGTTAAGCTAGTCATGTGACCCTAGTACTTCTCTGGCTTTTGCTTGTCCAGCTCTGGGATTGCAATCAGATGCTGACACACTTGGACTTTTGAACCTGAGTTCTAGGGGTCAAACTCAGGTCCTCACTGGCCATCTATCCCCCAGTACTGCATATTCCTAATATACAAAATATTGTACAGTCAAATACTTTCCTTACTGCTATAGCAATGAGATACAAAGAATTTGGAAAATGTTTAAAACAACTTAACAATTTATAACATTTTTTTGTGATTTGAGTTTGTTGTATAACACATATTTGTAGTACAGATTCACAGTCTGTATAAAAGTTATTGTGTGATGTAAGAGACTAACTCCACCTTCTGTTTGAATTATTCTTTTTGCTGTACTTAATTACAGGGCTATTTCCTGATGTGGGCGGAGGTTATTTCTTGCCAAGACTTCAAGGAAAGCTGGGTTACTTCCTTGCACTGACAGGGTTCAGACTGAAAGGAAGAGATGTGCACAGAGCAGGAATCGCCACACACTTTGTAGATTTTGAGAAGGTAATTGTTTGGGTGTTTGCTAGAGTGGTTGAGGTCACATATCTTTGGTAAGTATGAGTATGAATACGGAATTTATTGCTTATAGCTGTGTGACCTTGGAGAAAGTACCTCAGCCCACCCCATCCTTTCCTTCACCTTCCCTTTCTTCCTCCATGCTGTCCCACATCACAAGGGCTCCTTCTTTCCTGTCTTGTCCATCCTTTAGAGGTAGCGTTTGCTGTGTATGTGCACGTAGCTGCAGCCTACGTTTCTTTCAGGGTTGATGTGAAGGGAGAATAGATTTTAAGAAAGGATCCTAGGGGGTTGAAAGCTTTTTGCCTCTGCCAAGTTTCACATCTTGTTTTCTTTCCTTTAGTTACACAAGTTAGAGGAAGAGCTGTTGGCCTTGAAGTCGCCTTCAGCAGAAGATGTTGCAGGTGTCTTAGACAGCTACCAGGCTGAGGTAAGTCGGCCTCCAGCCACAGGAAAGGACAGGGCTCACATAGTGAGCAGATGGTAAGCTTTGGTTTGTGGCTATAGAAAGCGCACTGAGGATCATTTACTTTAAGGCTTGGTGGGAGGACCAGAGCTTCAGTGTTGGGCTGGCCATCCTACCCTCCTCCTGTGCAACTGCACAGCTTGTCTTTTGAACTTAAATGCTTAGCCTTGGAAGGAGCTTTTGAAAAAGCTTTTGCAATTCTCTGTGGCATTTCTGTGACAGAGGTTCAATGTTCAGACTATTTGTGGAGTTGCTAAAGTGAAATGCTAATAATAAAATATGCTGCAATGTTTAATTTCTTACTTATGTTACCTAAGTTTTCTTATAAAGGCCAAAAATAGAAACTGGGGAGGTCGTGACCCAGTGAGTGAAGTACTTGCTGCACAAGCATATCGGGACTTGAACTTGATCCCCAGCACCCACCTGTGGGAGCTTTTTATAAAGCTAGCTATGGTGCATTTGTAACCCCAACTCTGGAAAGGTGGAGACAAGCAGAGGCCCTGAGCTTGTTGGCCAGCCAACCTAGGTTAAATGGTGAGCTCAGGTGCTAATAAGATAGCACTTAAAGAGGAATGGCATCTAAGGTTGACACCTGGTCCTCCACAAATACCCACCCATACTATACATTTGCACATGCACACACACACAAACATGTAGCTTGAGTTTTCCTGCCTGGCCCAGGGTCAGGGCAAATCTCTCTCACCTGCCAGTCCCACAGCCGCTCAGACCAAGTAAACACAGAGACTTATATTGGTTACAAACTGTATGGCCGTGGCAGGCTTCTTGCTAACTGTTCTTACAGCTTAAATTAATCCATTTCTATTAATCTATACCTTGCCTCGTGACTCATGGCTTACTGGCATCTTCACATGCTGTTTGTCATCGTGGCGGCTGGCAGTGTCCCTTTGACTCAGCCTTCCACTTCCCAGCTTTATTCTCCTCCTTGTCCCGCCTACACTTCCTGCCTAGCCAATGGCCAATCAGTGTTTTAATTATTGACTAATCAGCAACACATTTGCCATACAGACCATCCCACAGCACAAACACACAAAGTCAAGAATCCTTAAAATCACAGTTGAATCACAGTTGAATACATGAATCTTTTAAAATTTCACTGACATTGATGAAGTCAAATAAAATGAAAGGAACCAAGGTAGAAGTGAGATATCAATATAATGACAGCTTCGAAGAAGAAGGCTCTAACTCAGAAGTGAGATTGTGACATCATCCTTCAGTGTTGGAAGCCAGCTGGAGCAAGCTGAATCCTGTGGAGAGCCCTTTAAGGAACCACGAACCTCTGAAGACCTGCCAGTGGGCAGGGGCATAGCACAGTGGTGGAGTGTTTGCTCAGCGTGTGCAAGGCTGTTTCTTCAGCACTGCAAAAAAGAAGGAAAAGAGTAGGAGAGAGGAAGAACTGAGGAAAGGAAGGGGTGATAGTCAGAGAGACCTAGAGACAGGGCGGAGGCAGGATAGGATACTGGTGTGCAGAAGGAAAACAATCAAAAGTGGCTTACAAGTTTTAATGAGTGCAGTTACACCTCCAAAAGTCTAGAAAGTCTAGCCAAGGGGCGGGGATAGGTGGGTGCTGTACAGAAGAGAGGGAACGTGCTAAGTGGGATGATCTGTAGCCCCTGCAAGCTTGCAGAACCAGGGTCTGCTCTCCTCCTCTGTGCACTGGCACTCAGGGAACTCTTCCTGGTACATGTAGGTACTTGCCTGATCCTCGAATGCTATGGTGGACATGTCATAATTCACAAAGATAAACAGGGCCATCCAGAGTGTTGGATCCTTAAGTGTCGGAATGGAGAAACACATGACAGACAGGCTTTAAAGGAACAGCTTGACTGGAGTTCAGTGTTAAAAAGCTGTGTAATAGGACTACCTGTACAGTGCTGTCTGTAAAAATACTGCATCCAAGACTCAGGCCCAGTTGCCATTGCTGCAGTCCAGTCTCACCTTCCAATAAAGTAGGTGTTCTGTACTGTAAGAATAGCCTTGATAAACTGGCTTCTCTTTATAAGGAGATGCCTAGATCATGTCATATGATATGGGTTAATAAAAGAGAGATTAACTTGAAATATAAACAGGAGAGAGCTCAGGCTGAGAGGTAGGACAGCGGTAAAGGCTGAGTACTGAGTTCAGTGGTTGGCTAGCACTTGTGGTTGACTTCCTGAGGTAGTTTTCTCCGCCCTGCCCCCCAGAAGGTAGAGCTGCAGGGATGCTAGCCATGCAATGGAAATTTCTAGCTCTGATGGAGATTTGACACGTGTTCTCAAGTCTTAGGTCCTAGATTCTTATCCTTAGATTCATAGAAACATTTAGATGATAAAAATATAAATAAAAGATTTTTTTTTTTTTGCCTTTGGCACTTTCAAGAGCTTATCTGGAGTTCTGCAGATTGTCTGAATTTTGAACATATGGTGGCAGTTATTTATGAGAGTGTTAAATGTAATTTGAATGAAAGTGATAATATGTCACAAAGTGTATCATTAAACGTGATGAACTTTTAAAAGATTTTTAAAAAGATTTGAGTCACTTCAAATTGCTTCTTTTTGAACAGTCCAAGATGGATCAAGACAAATCTGTCATATTTGAGGAACACATGGACAAAATAAACAGGTATTTAGTACAAGATACTGATCATGCTGTCCTTTGGAAGGCTATGTTAAGTCAGGTCTGCTCCCATTGCCATTATATTATTTGATAATGCTCCACAGTTTGAGATGGGTAGGATCCCATTTTCATTTCCATTTACCTTTGAAAGGAACATCTCACCTACTTTTCCAAGAGGAAATAGCCATTGCCATCCTCTCCCATGCTTACTCATTTTAATTTAAAATACCTCTTTTTAAAGTTGGGAAGGAAAGCTAGAGCATAATCGAATTACCTTACCTTTTATCCTCACAATGTCATCTTCCCAGAAGGTATTAAGCCGGAGGTCTTGCGCTGTGATCTGAGAACCTAGCTGACTGACCCAGGAACAGGAGGAAGACGACCGGGAGACCGTGCTGTCGCCTCTGTTTTTGTAGTTTAGACATGTATTTAAATACAAGTACCAGCCATGCAGGAAAGCAAATGAGAAGCCAAGAGTAGGCTTTGTTTCCCACTAGCAGTGGTAGATGACAAGTGCTCTTACCCAGGTAGTACTGTGCATTTCCTCCCTTGAAAAGCACATTGAAAAGTCTTCATATTGAAATGGGACTTGGGGAAAGCTAGTGCTCAGGCTCACTGGTGTCTTGGAAATAGGGAATTACTTGTGCATTGGTGAAACTGTGTTTCTTTTTATAGTTGTTTTTCAGCCAATACTGTGGAACAGATTATTGAAAACTTACGGCAGGATGGTTCACCTTTTGCCATAGAACAATTGAAGGTAATGCATGAATCCTTTGTGTCCCAACTGAGTCTGGACATCTGGGGACAGGGAAGCCTGTCTGAGGGTTGTCAGTATTCCATGATGGTGTCCTTCTAAGCCTCTGAAGACATTTCTCCTAAACTTGACTGTACCCACCATGTCATGCCTACCTGCCAGCTTTTGAGGACCAAGGGAAGCTGGTTTTATGTCCTTTGAATGTGACAGAGAAGGACTTTAGGAGCAGTATTGCATCTCCAAATGTCCCTGGAGCAGAACTGCTGTTAGGACCAGATCATGGGATGGTATCCTGAAGGCACTAGCTCAGAAGAATGAGCCCCTCAAGGGTGCAGCTCGTGAAGGCCCTTTATCATTGTCCTCTCTTCACTAGCCCTCGGTTTGTGGGTAGGCTGCTGACTCTCCTGAACTTCTCCTGTGTAGTGGTCAAGCTCGAAGCTTCAGCAAGTGAGATACTGTCCTCTGTCACTCTGTTCCTTGAGTGTGTGTGGAAAGACTTGAGGATGTTAAAAAGAACACTGAACAGAGTACCAGACTGGGCCCATCACCATCCTGTCATGGGTTGGGGAGGAGCTCCTGAGGCCTCCCCACTCCTTGAAGAGCTATTGGTGGTCGATAGTTGCTGAGGAAGGGGAGTTGTATTCCTCAGTGCTGTAACCACTGGTAAATTACCCTTGCTCAAGTACATACCCCGCCCCTTGCCATGCTCCAGGCAGCCCTAACTAAATGCAGTCAACCACACACATAAAAAAGACGTCAATGTAGCAAGGGGTTGTTGCTTGTTGGAAAGAAGAGTGTTCAGTGGGGGAGGGGGACAAGAAGATACCCAGTAAATTATAATCAAGTAATACACATATGCAAAATTTAAAAAGAAAATTTAAAAATAAAAAATACCGAATTTAAAATGAGAATTCTTTGAACCCAGTTTAAACCTTTGAGCCATTCAATCAACAATCAGCCTGAAAACTGTATGTGCAATTATAAAGGAGATTGCATGTATGTGATGGCCTCTTGTATCAGCCAGGTGGTCGCAGTCATATGTGGACTTGGAACACTAGTAATAGGATCTTAAATTCAGAACAAGGCGCATGGCATTCTTATTTTTAAATTAATATTAAAGAAGACTTAGTCATGAGCTGTTTTCTGTGTCCAGGTTAAGTCGAGGTTGTAGTTGGAAGTTTCCCTGTGTCTTGCCTGGTCCCATGGCCACTCAGACCCAAATAAACACACAGAGGCTTATATTATTTTTAAACTATGGCCATAGCAGGCCTCCTGCTAGCTAGCTCTTATTTCTTAAATTAACCCATTTCTATTAACCTATGTTTTGACATGGCTTTACCTGCATCCCATTACATGCTGCCCCTTGGATGGCAGGATGGCATCTCCTGACTCAAGTTTTTCTCTTCCCAGACTTCTCCTCATTTGCTTACCCTGCCTATATACTTCCTGCCTGGCTACGGGCCAATCAGCATTTTATTAAACCAGTGTACAAAAGCATTATCCCATAGCACGAGGCTTTCTTCAGTGGTGAAGAGCCCACTTCAGTTAAAATGTGTCCAGATCATAGCTGCTACCTCTCTACCCTTCCTTTTCTTATTTTCTTTAAGCATTTTCCTGAGAGCTGGGGACAGAGCAGTCAGTAGCTCCTTCCTTCCCTTCTCAGTTGCTCAGCCCTCCTTTTCTGCCTTGATATTTTGAGGGATGTTCCTGAGATGATGTGTGTTCTGCTTCTGTGTACTTAAATCCACTTAGCTTATGCCAGGCACACTCAAACAAGGTTCATTTGATTAGGCTTTAACTTACTCCATTTGTGGAATGACCTGTCACTGTTGTGGTGGGCTAGAGTGTTTCTATTTCATGCTCTGGCAGGGCTCAGCTACGGCATAAGAAGTTCCGAGGCACAGGTGTTAATCTGGACTACATAGAAGTTTACCTAGCTTATTATATGCAGCGAAGGAGCAGTTGGGTAACAAGGAATTTTTTTTCCCCCAAAGGTAATTAATAAAATGTCTCCGACATCCCTAAAGATCACACTGAGGCAGCTCATGGAGGGCTCTTCAAAGACCTTGCAAGAGGTACTCACCATGGAATATCGGCTATCTCAAGCATGTATGGTAAGAATTTTATAGAGTATTGTTAGTTCCTGGTTTGGAAATTCATTGTAGAACATGTGAAATTCAGAACAGAATAAGCAAGTGGCAGACAGATTATCAAGGCTTGAAGGAAAGTTAAAGAAATTGGGTCACAGTCCAAGAAAATCATCAGTCTTTTACAAAAATCTTGGAGAGGATGCAGGATCTATTGACCAAATTTATGAATTATAGGCATCGAAGGAGAAAGCAGATCAAAGGCATAGAAAATATTTTCAATAAAATCATGGGAGAAAATTTTCCAGATCTGCCATCTAGGTGAATGAGGCATACAGAGCACACATATGGCCAAAACAGATCCCCACATCATACGCCATCAAAACACTAAAGGTACAAAGCACAGAAAGGATGGTGAACACCGCAAGAGAGAAGGACCAAGTCACACAGAACGGTGGGTTATCAGAATAACAGCTGACTTTGCAGTGTAGACCACAGAGGCCAACCCAGACTGTCCGACCCAGCAAATCTCTTTCCTAACTGAAGACTAAAGAAAGTTTCACAATAGAAGCATAAGAAAGGAGTTTGTGACCACCAAGCCACTGGAGTGGAGAGTGGAAGGACTGCCTCAGACTGAAGAGAAAGATAAGCTCAGCAAGAGGTGACAGGGAGGAAAATTCATGTTAGGTCAGTGGTTACACAAGGGAACTAAGAAAACAAACACCACAGAATCAACAGTCTGACACATGTGACGACCGGAATACACCTGCCGTAGTAACTGAGTACCAGTGATTTCCGCTCCCTAGTCAAAGACACAGGTTAACAGGTGGGACTTCAAACAGGACTCAGCATCTTGCTTCTTCCAGGAAACATACGTCACCACCAAAGAGAGAGACAAGGTCAGGGTGAGAGAATGGCCACAGGTGCCCATTCCAAGGAGAGAGTGAGGAGACAGGAATTGCTGTCCTAATAACTGACAGAAGAGACTTCGAGTTAAAACTAATAAGAAGCTACAAAGACGGTCACATCACACTGATCAAGGGACAGTCCTTTGAGAGGGCATTGTAGCCTAAACACATATACAGCAAACTGGGTACATCTAACTTCCTAAAGCAAATGCTACTAGACATAAAGCCAGTGACTACCCCAGTACATTAATAGTGACTTCAGTACCCCCACTTTCACCAAAGGACGCATCATCTAAAAACAAAGTGGAAAACAGTGGGACTCAACATGAAATGGGGCTGTCACCTGCAGAATCTTGAACCACACACTGGAGAGTACACTGTCTTCTCCATAGCCTATGGAATGTTCTCAAAAATAGGTCACATATTATGATACAAAGCAAGTCTCAACAAATAAAAGAAAATGGGAGTAACTCCTTGCATTTTTTTCTGACTACCATGGAATAAAGCTAAATATCAACAGTGATAGAAAATACACAAGGTCTTAAGGGTTAAACTGCACACCATTGAATAAAGAACAGATCACCAAGGAAATAAATTACTAAAATTGAATGAGAATGAAGACATAACACACCCAAATCTGTGAGGAATGAGGCAATGGTAAGAGGGAAGTTTATAGTCAATGAGTGAGTTTTGGCAAGCCATTTCAGAGTGACAGAGGCAGAAGTTAGGGTGCCATAAACTGGAGGTGAAATGCAACAGGTGGGCTGTGAAGAAAGGAAAATTATATAGCTATACAGCCTTTTCTTCTTGAAACAGAATCTAGGACTATGAGGTTTATTTGTAAGGTGGAAGGTATAGAACACAGTCATGAAGGGCTAGGAATTATCTAAAGAGAAACGAGATTGCAGGGCATCGCACGGACTGAACCCTTAGGTATCCCATGCTAGGACATGGGTTAAAACAGTCCCATGATGAACTGATGTAGCCACTTCATGAAGGAAACTACATTCCAAGGCAACCTAGTCACTGTGTGGTAGTGACAGGCATTTGAGCTGCATGTATTCAGCCACTTGGTCCTGTGGCCTCCAGCGATGATGCCAGGAGAGAGCTGTGGAACCCCTTCTCAAGAAAAACCCCTGGGAGGGCACAGGAGATGTAAACTGGAGTGCATGCATGACTGGCCCCTGAAGGAGACCCTGCTCCCTCCCTTTATCTTGAATAGGAGACAAAAACCTTTAAAATGTTACCTTGAGAATGAGGAGACGTCATGGTTTTCTGTGCCTGTTTGAGACTTAAAATTATAAATCATGAATTTTAAATGAAATTACTCACATTCCTATGATTTTTTTCAGTGGGGATGCAGCTAGTGTAGGGAATTTGTTGGAATAGTATAAAGGTTTGAGGGCTGAGGTCACTTTCCAGAGCAAGTAGCCATATCAGTGGCTTCAAGAGCCTGGTCTGGAGAAAGAACGATGTGAAGGCACCACAGGAGGAGTTGTAGGCTGCACTGCCTGAGGAGCAGCAAAGATGTGCCTCAGCGGGCTTGCTGACCCGGTGAAGTTGGGAGGCGGTCTGAAGGGAGCTATCTGGAGGGGTCCAGGCCCTGGGTGCCATGGTCAAGGTTGTAGTCACAGGAGTGAAGGGCTGAGGTGGGTGGAGGAGCGAGAGCATAGGAACAAGGGTGCCAGAGTTCCTCCATTCACTCTTGGCTTTCTTTCAGGAAGGCCATGACTTTCATGAAGGCGTTAGAGCCGGTAAGTGACAGATACCTGTCCTTCCTTCTTGAGTGTCGGGAAGAGGATCTGTGAGCGTTCTCAGATAACTTCAGGGGCTGTGTGTGTGTGTGTGTGTGTGTGTGTGTGTGTGTGTGTGTGTGTGGTGTGTGTGTGTGTGTGTGTGTGTGTGTGTGTGTGTGTGTGTGTGTAACATGTGGAGAGGTGTCTCCAAAACTAATACGCTTCACATTCCCGTCTTGGCACCGTTCTCTGATGAGTGTGTCAGACCCTGTCCCCTCTGATGAGTGTGTCAGACCCTGTCCCCTCTGATGAGTGTGTCAGACCTGCCCCTCTGCTCCCAGGACCTGCCCCCTCTGCTCACAGGACCTGCCCTGTGAACTTGTAGACATGCCACGCTGCTCTTCCAAGGTGCGTCAGCTCTTGACCAGAAGCCCTCAGCTGCCCCCCTTCCCTTTCCTTCGTACTGTTCTCCAATGACGGGGCAGTGTCCGCATCACCACCGCCTCCTCCTCAGGTTTAGGCAGTCAATGCCACTGGGAGGATGCAGAGGCATTGTAGTTTACGTTTTTGCTCATCTCAGGGCGGCACATTCAGAAAAAGCTTAGGTTGTTTTCTCTAACAGACTTGTAACCGTTCCTTCTATGTATAGTTCTTACATTTATAAAGAGCTGTTGTTCCATATATAAAATGAGTTGTTTTCTTCTGCATAAAGTTTGCATGTCTCTTCCTGCCTCTGCCTCCCAAACATACCAAACCTGACCAATTTTGTTTTTATTAATCATTTTAGTAGACCACAGACACTGTGTGTGTATGTGTGTGTGTGTGTGTGTGCATGTGCACGCGTGTGTAGGCTACTGCTCTACCACTGAGCTATATTCTCCAACCCCAGAAATATTTCTCTGAGTAAAAAGCTTTATTTTCTATGCCCTGAGATTTGGTAAATTTCTGTTGTAGAATTCTCCTAATTTGTAGTATGACGTATCAGAAATAAGCAGAGGGTGCAGGTCATTTTGAGAGAGACATGAGGTTGAGTCTGCACAGGTGGCTGAACGGTTAAAACAAAGTATGCATCTTTCCTATTAATTCCCCGTGGGTTATCGCCACAAGCAGATCAGAATCATGGTCTCTGCTCTCGGGGGACCTATACTACTTAGGGGTTGTCACTAAACTATTTGTTAAATATTGTAATGGTCCTTTTGCAAACACAAGACAGTTTTAGATATTTTAGGTAAATATTTTCAGTTGCTTTATGGAAAAGGAGTTGAAGTTTGTCAACATCAGGGTGTTGAATCACAAAGCAAGTGCTTGACAGATGTAGTGCGCACACCTTTAATCCCAGCACAGAGGCAGAGGCAGGCGGATCTCTGTGAGTTCCAGGCCAGCCTGGTCTACAGAGCAAGTTCCAGGCCAGCCAGAGCCACATAATAGAGAGACCCTGTCTCTAATACAAAAACAAGAACCACCAACAATAATAACCAAAATACTCAAAGCAATTGCTTATCACGCTACTTTCATTTCTAAAATTGAAAAAAGGCCTTTCATTAGGAGATAAGGTTTTACTGTGTAGGCCAGGCTGGTCTGAAACCTGTCGTCTTGCTGCCTCAGCTCCTGAGTGCTGAGATGACTGATGTGCACCACCAGGCCTAGCTCATCGTGAGATAACCTTCTGCCTCCTGTTTCAGCATGGACTTACTCAGAAAGTAACACCGGCTGGGCTAAAACTGTTTAGTATTCTTGCTGCAATTTACAACTATAACGATATGTCAGCAAATTAGGGAGATGATTGTTAAACATCCTTAGTCTTAACATCTAGGATGAAGTCCTTTCTGGTTACAGCAGATAAAAGCGAACCCTGCCAGCAGAGCTAAGGACTGACTAGAAGTCTCCCTCCTGCAGGCCGAGCTTCCTGCACAGGAAGCACTTTCTGTCCTGCAGGAGCACAGCACAGATTTGATTAGTGCTCACTCCTGTGTCCTTCAGTAGAATCCCAAGGAGGTAGATAGTACCTGCCAGACACTAAAGGGAAAGAGACTGGTGGGAAGGATGTCCCAGGACTAGTCTGTCGTTGACATTGGCTAGGAGATACAAGCTTTCAGTTGGGAGGGACCACAGCCATTTCTGATGTGCCTCCCACAGTAGACAGACTTACGCCTCCAGTATAAAGCTGGCCACATAACTATAGCCCCAGCTACCTGAGACTTCCATCTCAGAACAAAACTAAGCACAGATACTTCTCCAGTATCTACATTTAATTGTGCATAAAGCTTTAACTATGCAACAAGGTATCCTTCTTTCTTGGTTCCCAGATTGCTGCTTCAACTGTACTTAATTTGGGTTTTTCTGAGTGTCTTATAGATTTAAGTCTGGAGATATAAGCTAATGACAGAGTGCTTGCCCAGGGTACAAGAGGCTAGGGTTCAATTCCTGTACCATCAGCACCAAACAGCAGCAGCAGAGCAAACATGGAAACTCTCTCTCTCTCACAGACCACCCCCTCTCTCCTCTCTCTCCTCTCCTCTCCTCCTCTCCCCTCCCCTCATTCTCTCTCTCCTTTCTCTCTCTCCTTTCTCTCTCTCTCTTCTCTCTCTCTCTCTCCTTTCTCTCTCTCTCTCTCTCTCTCTCTCTCTCTCTCTCTCTTTCTCTCTCTCTCTCCTTTCTGTCTCTCTCTCTCTCACACACACACACTTTCATTCTTTGTTAAAATTATATACATTAGGCGAGGCTGATATTTGCTACCATAACCATGCTTTTTTTAACTGTTTACAATTATAAATTCACATGTATTTGTGAGGAACAATATGGAGCTCCTGTGTACCCTCCACCCAGGCTCCTGAATGGCATGTGTGTTACTGAGTGCACTAACCCCAGAAAATAGGTATTCTCTTTTTATTTTCTTAAGCATTTACACTTAGAAGCCTATGGCAATATAATGTGGCTACCCTGAGTGATGTCTGTAATGAAGTACAAGTAGAAGATTTTGTGATTACCTGATGGTGGTCTGATTTTTTTTTTAATTCAAAGCCATCTATATAGGATTTGGTAAAATGGCAACATCTACATTTAATTATATATACAGTCTCCTTTCCTTTACCTCAAGTAATTAATTTTTCCTCTCAAAGCCAGGTTAGAAGCCTGGGCCCTCTCCTGCATTGCCTCCCCTCCCATATGCACCAATGCTGGGTTTAGCTGTCTGTAATATGGAAATTTCATTTGTAATTCTGAGGATGTAAGAGGAATGTTTAAGCTGCCAGATTAGTTCACTGGGTTTTATTAAAAGCATAAACCTTGCAGAAAAATGTGCTATAGAAATATATGCCTGGTAGGACACAGTTATCAGTTCAGTAGTTAAATCTGGTAATAGCAGAAAAAGATGTGCTAATGTCTCTACCTTCTTTTGACAGTTCTCATTGACAAAGACCAGAGTCCAAAGTGGAAACCAGCCAAGTTACAGGAAGTTACTGATGAAGATCTGAATAGCTATTTTAAATCTTTGGGAAGCAGGGATTTGAAATTCTGAGGTGACCAGACCTCTAAGGTTTATTTTGGAGCAAGGGCCAGCAAACAGCACAGAGGCTAGGTCTGTCATCTTACCCATTTTCATCCAGCCTGCAAGCTGGAAATGCTTTCCTCACTTTTAAATTGTTGGTAAAGAAATTAAAAGACGTAACATTTTATACAGTGGTTACCTGAAGTTTAAACACCAGTGTTTATGATGTTTCATGATACAACAGTTGGCTGCAGTTCAGACACCGTGTTTATAGAACTCTGCTGCAGATAGCTGTACTTGTTATTTATGACTGCTGGAAGTGGCCATGTGTGGTGGTTTGAAAGAAAATGGCCCACATAGGCAGTGGCACTATTAGGAGGTGTGGCCTTGTTGGAGGAAGTGTGTCACTGTGGGGGTGGGCTTTGAGGTCTCCTGTGCTCAAGCTATACCCAGTGACACATTTGCTCATTTGCTTCTGCCGCCTGTGGGTCAAGATGTAGAATTCTCAGCTCCTTCTCCAGCACCATGTCTGCCTTGTCCTGCCATGATGATAATGGACTAAAACTCTGAACTCAAAGCCAGCCCTGGTTTAAAAGATGGGAAATTCTCAAGAGCTCTAGAGTCTTGAGTTACTATCTCTCATTAAAATTGTAACTTTGGCTTCCAGTGGTAGATTATATGTGAATTAATAAATTATGTATATATTATCAAAAATAAAGACCTTGAAATTTGGAGAGAGTATGCTAATTCCTTATAAACATTTCTTTAAAAAAAACGTGAATGAGGCCAGGTGGTGGTGCACGCCTTTAATCCCAGCACTCAGGAGGCAGAGCCAGGCAGATCTTTGTGAGTTTCAGGCTAGCCTGGTCTACAGAGCCAGATCCAGGACAGGCACCAAAACTACACAGAAATCCTGTCTCAAAAAAACAAAACAAAACAAAAAAAAAAGTGAATGAAAACACTGTAGCAGAAGAGTTACTTTAAACAGGAAAAATCTCCTTCAAAAAGAAAAAGGTTGCATCATTAAGTTCCATCTCCAGAATGCTAACTCAGCCTCAGCCTTCCCTGGGTCATCAGTACATACCTCCTTGGTAGAAATGAAAGCATTATTCTTGTTATTTGCAGTATTTGCTAACCTGGAAAAAATGAGGAATTAAGAAACTCCATTTTCTAAGACAGACACACCCTTGCTTTTTATAAGTTATATCCAACTTTTATATGAAAAATTAAAAGCAATTTAAAATAGAAATATCTTTAGTAATTGAAAGTTGACAGAATTTTAAAAATATTTTTCTGTGTTTGCATATTTTGCCTGCAGAGCCATAAGAGCATTGGATCCCTGGATCCTGGAGTTAAGGACGATTATGAGTAGCCCTGTGGGCACTGGGAACTGAACCCTGGTCCTCTGGAAGAGCAGCCAGTGCTCTAAACTACTAAGCCATGTCTCCAGCCCCTGACAGATTTAAGTCAGAATAATTTTATATTAGAGTCAGCTAATCATTTATTTTGTAACTTGTTATAATTTCTCCTTCATCCCAGGCTCCTGAAGAACTGGGAGAATGTAAGGTAAGAGCAAAACCAACAGAACTGAGAAGAGCATCAGGCTCATGCCTGTACCTTCCCACACAGGAGGCTCCAGCCCAGAGGGTGCTGCTTTACATTTTCTCAGCTCTTAACCTATTTATCGTGAAGGACTTTTCCTCCAAACAATTCAGAACACAAAACATGTCTGAAATAATACCAGAGTATTGACCATGTTTTACATTTATGTTCTTAAAGCTCCAAAATTAGACCTTAATAACCCAAGAGCTTGTCTGTGTAAATGCCTTCATTCACTTTGTACATATTAGCAATATAGAATAGAAGTCTTTATGTAAAACGTCAATGGACCACACCAAAAAGTATTTGCTTCAATTAAATAAGTACTGAAAGCTAATTGCAATTGAATTTTTATTATAGTTACAATTTTTTTTTCACAAAAATATTTGGGGGAAAAATATCACTTCAGAGTTAACTCTACAGTGAAGGGAATTTACTAACAAAACTTGAGTTTTGTAAATAAAGTAACAGCTAATTCTTTAGAACTAGTTTTTATGGCTCCAAGGAAGAAACACATGGCTTGCTGGGTCATTTCACATAGATACTGTATCTGTATAGACATTATGCATACATGACTGTTTCTTGACATCATTCATACATGTCTAACTTCTGATTTCTAAAACAATACAATGCAGAAGTGTACTCCGTCCCATCCAACCAAATGCCAGCAGTGGTTCAGTAGGATGCACATATCTTGCTATTTCTGTGCATTTATTTTTCACGCTTATGAGACAGTTTGATCCAAATGCTTCCGGCTTAAGATCATCATGTTTGCCCCTTCAAAATTGTGCTTTAAGTGATAATAACCGTAGGTAGTTTGCAAAGAACTGATAAGGCAACTACGATGGGAGAATTCTAGGATCAAAGGCCTGTAATCAAAAGGTAACAGTACCAAAGAGACAGCAGGGAGGAAGAGTGACATTTTGAGAATCTTAGTAAATCAAGAACTGGCACATTGATTTCCTCCACTGATCTGCCTCTGCAGTCACCACTGGAAGGCCGTGTGCCGACAGCAGTCCCTCTGCCCTTGCACTGATATTGCACATGTCCCTGTCCAGTGGCTAATGAGTCATCCACCTTCTGTTTATGAGTCCCCCCTTCTCAGCCATCTCCTCCTTAATGAGAGACTTCAAATGAGAATCAGCTGTTAATATAATGTTACTATAAAGGCGTGAAAGAAGGCTGACTCCTTATCAGAGATGTCAAGTTCAAACTAGACCCTGATAACTCTGCAGTGTAGTATGAAGTTTGTTCAACTCTCTTTGTCACACATGGTTTGTCCACTTATTACATAAGCCTTGTGGTCTCTTGTTCATGGGCTGACGTGCAGTTCTCATATATTTCAAAGATAGGTCTCTTAGAAGATACTATATATGTCACAAAAGCCTGACACAGGGTGAGGGCACAGTGCTTGCTTCATGATAAAACTGTTCATCATAGTTACTGAAAGGGGATGGCAGCCGGAAGCAGACCTCTAGCTAGATGTGGACCTGGCAGGCACCCCTGCTCCTCCCTTGGGGAATCAACATGGGACAAAGAAGAAGCCTGAAGTTGAAATATATAACCCAAACCCACTTGCCATTATCCTTGTATCGACTATGTTTTCATGTTCTGACCAACATACATATTATTTTATATACTTAATTATATATTTTAAATAACAAGAAACCTTGCAACAGGTGTCCTTATATGAGAAGCCAAATGAGTGAAAAACTCATGACCTAGGCTTTTGCCTGAATCATTAGTACAGGCGTTGGAAACTGTGCTGCATCATGAACTAAAGATTGTACTTCTGGAAAGTACTCTGGCACTGGGACTTATGCGCAGGTTGTCGTAGGAACAAGAGTAGTTGCTTGTATCTGCAAGCTGCTGGATTCCAAGTGTAGTGGAGTACTGTGATTCCCAGGGCTTAGTGAAATTAACAGAATGATAAGGTGTCTGAAAGCAAACTGAAAGATGGCCCATTGTTCCTTTTAACAACCTCTTTGTTCCTAAAACTTGGAGGATTCACACTATTTGGCTTGGATTTCAACGTATTACTGTTAAAACTAGAGACAGTGTTTCTTGCTATTGACAAAGTCAAGTACCTATTTATCTCATTAATGATACTAAAAGCCTTTCTCCAATGGTTTTGGATTTCAAGGATGCTGATAAACCATATCACTGAAGGGCTGGTGTAGATGGCCTATTTCCTCTCTTGTTAAACTCGGTGGTAATTGTAGACACTCAGCTCCACATTTCTACTGACTTTATCCTAAGTCTTCTATTACTATTGAGCTTTATACAGTTGAGTTCTTTAAAAAATAAAGTATGTACTCTGATAGTTTTTAAAATACCTAATTTGTAACATTTCTATAACATATGGCTAAGAGTGCCCTGTGACTGCTAAATTCCACACAGGTGCTCCCTTTGGGAGAGTGTTCTGTTCTGCTCTGTAGTGCAGGAGAATCACACACCCCCATGTCTGCTCCTCCACCAGCATTACAGGGAGGCTTTACGCTCATTTAGTCATCACACGGCTTGAATTGTCACCATGCAGACTAGGCTTCTGTCATTTTTGAGATTTACTGGATAAAAGGTACCGGAGAGCTGCTTATTTCAATGACATAAGCTAGTGTCAAGACTTCTATAAACTATCATTTAAAGATGGCTGTAATGTGCAAAGTTTAAATCATCCAGTAACAGCTGTGACGCTGAGGCCCAGGGTGGTAGTTATATTTTTCACCTACAAATTAAACTTCTACTAAGAGCAACATTCAAGGCAGCCCTCTTCACTCTCTAATTGTAGGTTACAAGTATCAGGAAGTGGGCAGTCCCTGACAAATGGTTTTGACAAATGGACAGGTTGTGGGTCACTATGGCTAGAGTTCCGTTCCTTGTCAAGGCATTTTAAGGAAACCCCTTTTCATGTTCTGGGCTTATTTTTGGTATTAACAGAAATAGTCATTTTAAAGTCAATCCCTTAAAATAACCATTTAGAACTTGGGCACTTTTTATTCAGCATTTTCTTTGGTGATACCGTTACTGCCTCAGGAAGAGCATGCTATGGCAGACAGCGGGTGCTGGGTGCCACAAGACCTCTGTCCATCCTGTGTCCCAAATTTGTGATCAAGCAGATATACATTGATGTTAACTAGAACTGCTTAAAATTCTATTTCATCATAAGCATCCCTACACTAATATTATCATAGACATGGTTTTACATCCAGTTGCAGTTTCAAAACTTATTTCATGTATTTAAACTAGCACCGACTACATCCGGAGCACAGCAAAATGTCATCACCCAATAGCGGTGTCAGAGCCCTCACTCTCGATATATGGGATGTTGTAGTACTTGATGTTTTCACTTGCCCACTGCTGCAAGGCATCCTGCACGATTTCCTTGGCCAGATGCTCTGCGAATTCAAGGACCACAGGACTGGGCTTCACTTCCCCTTCGACTTGAGTTTTCCCTGGAGAAGGGGTCCTATGTTGACAGCTGCCATCTGGCATAAAGGCTTCTTCACTCTCATTGAGCCTGTCGATGTCTAATGTGGTAGGAAATGGGAATGCTTGCTTTGACTTCATGCAACCCATGATGTCGAACTTTGGTGAACTGAAGGCAAGCTGTGTTAATTAAGACAACTTCAACGGCATCTTTGGAAAACAATGCAGGATTGTTCACAGGATGTTGACCAGGCTTCCTCTCCAGCCACTTTGGCAACCACAGGTCCCTTTCAGTACTCTTCACGTCTCGTGTTTACCTGTCAAGAGAAGGGAGTTTTCACTGTGAGGTTCTGTATGATGTGGTGATATGGAAGCCCTTGGTTCCTTGAAAGAAAGGTGGGGTTCTCAACCAACAACTTATCAGCCAAATCTGGAGAAAGCACTCAATGGGAATGACAGAACACTCATCAAACATTTTTTTGAGCTCTTGAAAATACTGTAAAAGTAAATGAAATAAAACTTTACACTAACAAGTGACCATTCTTGGACTGAATTCCAACCACATGTTTTTTTCTTTTTTATTCTTTCACCATTTCATACATGTATAATGTACTTTGATCATGTTCTCTGTTACTCTCATTCCTTGCTCATACCACCAAACCACCAGATCCCTCCCAAGTCACCCTTTCTTCCTGTTTTCTGTTGCTGT